TCTACTAGTTTTTATGTCGTACTCCATTGAGAAATGTCGAAAACGTACTCTGCTCTGATGTGCACATTTCCGCCATTACCATCGTCGCAATTATCGTATTATTGTCGTTGAGGCGATTATTTCAGAACAATTTGATAGAGTTCTTTTCAGATTAATGCTCAATCATGTCAAAGGTTGATCAACCGCTACAAGTTCTCGCAAGTACACCAACGTCCCATCGTGATGATTTCATCACATTCCAGTATACGTGGCCCCTCAAGATTTCTCAGCGGTGAGTATATAATCATAGATTTTTTTGGTATTTCTATTCGATTCTTTTTTCTTCTAATTAAAATTTCTTCTTACGGGAATGCAAACAAAAGTTCAAGCAGCAAGAGCACGTGCTTCCGGAAAATATTTACCTTCTGCTAATCTCCCTTTGCTCCAGCTCGTGTCCTTGATGTTGGCTCAAGGTTCAGTGTTCGTGTTGAGTCACGGGGCTTCAACTTCGGCAAAACATGAGTTTAAGGATAGGCCCCTCGGCTTTTTGGATTTTAAAGGCTTTGTTTTGTGGCGGCCTTTCATCTTTGATCATTTCCTCGGAAAGCTGACAGATTAAAGAACTTTGCAATATGGGCGGGGAACCTGAGGATCTAATCGTGATTAAAGTTGCTAAAATTGAGTGCATAAAAGGTGGTTGCATTCGTTGTTTCTGATTGAATGATAAGCCTTTTGTCGCACTAATACACGGGTCACTTAGAAGGTCCGAATATGTGTCGTTTTGATGGGCGTCGTAAAACTCTGAAAGCATAACCCCCAAGGTGTTGCTTGAGAGATCGAGAAAGGAAGGCTGAACAGCATTTATAGTTCGCCCTCTAAACGCTGGTCGCTGACCGCGATTAATTATCGCGGACTATGAATGCTGCACAGTCTACTTTTCACATATGGGGTTAAATGAAGTTCGAACTTTGTCAGATGTTCAATAATCGATCGCACTATATGCGTTAGCGTGTTAGCATATGATAAAAGTATGAGACAAGCCGAGCGCTGAGCGCCTTAAGCACTTTCACTGGTACATGGTGCAACAAACAAGCGTTATTGATCACCACTGCCATTGCTCATGCGACGAGGGAACAGCGATCGCTTTTTTGCGCTTCGTGGTCTAAGGAGCTGCCTTCGAGCTTCGTTAGCTGGCTCGGGGATTATATTTAATGCTTTCCTAGTACTTCCTCTCTTGCTCCCTTTTCGCTTCTGTTGTCCTGAGGTAGGAATCTCGATTCAGGCAACGAACGGAGTTAAGAAAAAACGATGGAGTTAGGAGAGAAAAGTAGATCACCGTGGCAGAAGCTTTTACACCGGAACAAAAACATAGTAAAAAGCTCGAATGCAAAAGAGTGACCGGCCAGGCACGGGTCTGTGCCCCAATTTTCAGTGTCTCCTTAACTGGTCTCTGTTGAATTGGCCTATGTTTTTTCCAAGATGCTCCCTGTTTGTGCTTGATGCTTGGTAGCTGGTTCGCTCGCTCTAAAACTTGTCCGCCAATGCACTCAATGTAGATCGTACAAATTTCGTGACTCACTTGTTTACTTGGTAAAACTTCCGTTCGGTTCATGGTTCGCATGTGCTTACTGCAGTAGTTGAGATGTAATGGAGTGTTTTGTATGCGCGTATGTGGTTGTTGTTTGGCTGTCTTGTCACCTACATCTGCTTTCTTTGTTCTTACTCGCCTAGGGCTGTTTGTCTGGTAGTGAAGTGGTGCTGCCGTCGTTCCGCATTGCGATTAGTTCCCAGCTGGTGTGCACATGTGTTGTGGTGTTTTCAGGTTATAGGTTCAGGGCGAATTAATTCATAAAAAATGTGGCACGTTTGAGGGTGCAGGTGCAAGGAATAGTCAAAATGCGTTGTAAGAAAAGCGACGGATCCGTAGTAGTTTCCCAAGAAGAAGGTAGAAAAGTTAGAGATTTTGTTACACTGCCTCAAGCGCCATAAAGCAATCATGTTTCTATTCTAACTCGTATAGAAAACTGTAGTAGGCTTTGCGATGATGGGAGAATATTCGGGAAGGAATATATACCCTAAGTTCATTGAAAGACATTTTTAAACCGTGGCAGTTGCTTCTGACTGGGAAAAGATTTCTGGCCAAAGTGCATCTATGTTTATATGCACGGTGGGGTTGCAAAGGATGTGCGTTGTGTGACTTTGACAGCGATGATAGAATTCGTTCGACGAAGACGCTTCTGAGATTACAATATATTACTTTGCTTACGGTTTGCTCAACTTTGTGGGTGGCTCAAAAGCGAGAGCGACTAAGATCCAACCATCTTCCGTCTTGACAGTTTTGAATACAAATTACCGAAGCAAGCAGATCACCGTTGGGTACCGATAAATCATAGTGAGAACTAAGGAAAATCTATACGATGTTCGGGTGATCAATACCGTGCAGTGGCTTGGCAATTGTAATTCTCTTCGTCATTGTTAGACAATCATTTTCAATTGTATTTCGCCTTTTCGAGCTCGAACCAAGACCCAAGCTCGATAAATTAGTGTTAATAGTCAGGTACAATTTTGATTAGACCCTTGTAAGGCTAGATCTCCGAAAATAGTATTCACTAGTCTGATTCGTTTTCCAGACTAAAGTGCATCGAGTACTCGCGATTCACCCTTACAGTATGCATTCCTTTTTTTGAGCACGCGCTTTTTTCACCAATGAAAATCAGTTATCTTTTTTACCGAACTTTATTGATTACTGTATTCCGGTTTAAGAAGGGTCATCGATTACGGTACATCCGGTTCGCGATGGGTGTGTTGCGACGATACGCAACGATGATATGTTAGAGGATAGCAGGTGGAGGAGTCAGTCGGTCACTTGGCACGTGGCTAGACGGGAATCAACGAGCACTACGTAGTTGGTCTCTGAAGGAACAGCGACGTATAGATAGATGGCGTACGCATGAAAATGGCGGGGGAAAAGAAAACACGGGGAGCCGCCCTTATGGTTAGACCATGCGCAGTTGTTGAGAATCAACTTTTCTACAGGTGTAGTATAAGGAGTGATTTTGCCATGTTCAGTTCTCGCTGGATGGCTCCCAATAACGGTCTCCCACATAAGCTCAGTTCGTCACATACATTTTTATTCAGTTCAGTTAACTAGTTTCCCAATGGATTCTTGTTTTTCGATCCCAGAGCGCTCGACGGATAAAAGCCATTATTTTTACTTCAATCCGAAGGTTTAGAAAATCTGGCTCTTTTAAAATGTGATCAGTGAGTGGTCAGCGGTTTGCTAGTACTGAATTGTTTATGTAGGTAAGAAATCGTCTAAGGGTTTGGTTGAGGCTGCTGAAAGAGAGCCTGCAAATTTTTTGGATTCGTAGTATCCTTCAGTTGATCACGTATGGCAGAAACTTCAGTGCTGATGGTTGCGCTATGTAGTTTTTTTTTGGAAATGGACATGCGACCGCTCATGCAGCTATCGAGTTTCGGCTCTATTTGGGGATCGTTTTCCATCGTTAAGTGAAAGAGTCTTTGGTTTTTTGGCGCTTAATGGCGCTAGACTAGCAATACAGAACATCAAGGGGTGGAGGTTTTCAAAATGGCATATGCCTTACATCGGTGTTTTGGACAGATCGGTAGAAGCGGCTAGGGCTTTGAGTGCGGATTGATCAAATGTTCCACCCCAAGAAGAACCACTTCGGTCATTATTATTACGCCGCTCCTACCCACTAAACCACATGTTCATTATGTTCGCTTACGGAAGATTCCGAATGAATTCGGAGTGCCAACGAAGACCGAAAGGTCGGCTTGCAGAAAAACGAAGGGAATTAATCGTCTTTAGCGAATATTGTAAATGTTTTTATACACCGACGTCTTTCTTAGGAGCTGACGTCAACAGCGTACCTCGTTCGACTACTGTTTCTTTGTATTATTTTCATCCCGATTCCGGATTCCGATAACAGATTTCAATATCAGCTGACAGGTGTTATGTGACTATCAAAAGTTGAAAAAGAGGAAATGAAAGTCGGTGTTCGGATAAACACGACATTAGTTGCATGCCCTTTTATTATTCGACGTTCATTGTAGCTCTATTATTGTGTTATCCACAGTAACGCCGGGTTTCTAGGCGTTGTCGGTCATAAAAATCCATGGAAAATCGATTTTTCTGGAGATACCCGGGGGTAAATGGTCAATGAATTTCTTGTCATCACCAGGGAATAACTACCCTCGTGATTATACTTAAAAAATTGATGGCATTCCATTTGGTGAAATATTATTCAAGTCATCATCGTCGTTGGTGCTTTGGATTCGGACTGACGGACTGCTCTCACAGCCCGCCGGCCAGCCCCGCGAGCGCACGCGAGCCGGTCGCGGACTCTGGAAGCGGCCACGCGGATTGGACTTTTTCAAGTAGAAGGATCAAAGAGAAAGGCAGCAGTGAAGGGACAAAATCCAATCTATGACATCCTTTCGCCAACTATAATAAATGAGCTTAAGCAAGACTTTCCCAACCATTATCGATTGCTTCGTCAAGGATACAATGAAATGTATGAATTATTGATAAGCCGGTTGATAATCTTTTATAGGACCTTTCGAAACTCTCAAAATTTTGATGAGGCCTCGAAACAAATATATGATTCAACTTTGATGACCGAGCATTGAATATGTATGAAGTTTTGCAATGACTTCGAAGATTGATCGGCATTCAACTATATGTTTTGTTCAACTATTTTGTTTCTATGAAACTTAGATAGATGATCGAAGATTAGTTAGTTTGCATGGGATACCATTGGATCGGTAATTGCATCCCCAAATTTGTTAGTCTGAAGAAATGCCTCGAGGTATGGGCACTTCGATAAAGAAGGCGTGTTAAGGGGTGGTAGCTTCTAAAAGGATTCCGTGTTTGAAAGTGGTATGTATTGTACACGACCACCATGCATCCGTCACTGTTTTTAAAACTACTGTGAAGATTTCCTTCTCCCGTCCTTTTTAGAAAAGTTTTGTCATATGATGGTGTCTATGTTGTCAAAATGTATTTAGTGGAACCGGTTCGAAAGGTAAAGACTATTTATCAAAATAATAGCTGTTATTGGGCGATTTTCCATGCGCTGCTGTATTTTCTTTGAGTCATTATTCATTGAGCATTAGAATTGAACTCTGATTTCTGATCATAAAATATATAGGAGTACTGCAATTATCATTTTCTTTCCAGATTGCTGGAAAATTCTGAGGCCATTGTTTTAAACGTTTCACCGCCATTCTCCACAGCGTACAATGGAGTTCAGTTCACATGGGCGCTCCGTCTATCCGATGAATGTGTGGTGTCGACTTGTGGTATGTGTTCTTGTGAACTCTGATTGTTTTTACTGGTGAGGTTCTTAGATGCCTCCGCTCTAGTTTTTGAGGATGTCATTATTATCGTTCTCTTTAGTTGCTATGACTCTTTTGCATAGGCTCGGGGTGAAAAACTTGATTAATCAACTTCCGAGGGAAGGCTTTCATTAATAGAGGCGCTGATAGAAAAACCGATATTCGTTCCATCTTTTTGTCAAAAAAAGAACTCTGACTGGGGAAATAATCCTACTTCTACCTTGGCATAACTATCACAACGACTTGACTATCTGAAATTTTCCAGAATATGCGGCCGTCCCATCGGTTAGGCGTGTTTTCGTACTGCTTTATTATAAAGACGGACCTTGCACGGATGTGACCGTTGAAGAAGCTAAGTGAGTATTTCTGTCGCTAGAAAGTTCTTCCATTTCTCTTTTGTCCTATTTGTTCATCTAAATATTTTAATAGCTCAGATTATCTCGTTTATTTTTCTTTCCCTTCTGCTCCCTTCTTCCATCCCCGTTCTAGAGGAGGCGGATCATTCATATAGTGCAATATCTATTCTTACAGAAATTTTTTGTTTAATTATCAGTTTACGGGTTTGGACTTTGAAATTGCATTTCAATTACAGATGTAGATTTCATGATAAGTAATGACTTTTTGTAACCAAGAGGGTGAATCGTTTTACTGACGTGACTTTTTCTCAAAACTGCGACATTGCGTCAATCAGTGTTGAGCTTTCGATAGCTTACCTATACTGTAGCCATGTACCTCGCTCATTGTCGAACTCTTATGAAAAAACCGTTCCCCGCGCGAGATTGATCCTCATCCATAAATGCACTTCTCGCTGATGAAGCCCAATCTGTGAAACTCAGCTGCAGCCGTAATTCTTCGCAGCCACTGCGATGTTTTTTTATGGTTTTAGATATCTTAGAATATCTTAGATTACATCGGTAAGCTGTTGAAAAACAGAGTAATTACATCTGCGGACTGACAACCGTCACATAAATTGATGAATTTTGTTGAAATCAGCGGACAACCGGTCTCACATCAGAGATAAAACACCAGCGGTATTTCGTGGCCTTTCCCATCTCTTTTTGCAATACGGTTCACGTTTACTTGTGTGACGTCACTCAACCAGTCATGTGCAGTCAGTTACAGTCATCTTTTTGTTTGACGCAACGTGCTTGTCCCATGGGGGCTGATCTGTGATTAGTGCTCGTTCAGGGATCTTCACATTCTCGTACATCCATTGAAATGGAAGGAATAACAGGTTCTGTCACGCGCAGGTCATATATGTATAGTTGAACATTTAACGTTGTGGTAAGAACCAAATTTTACACGGATCATTTCCTGCGGAGTAATCCTTGGGGTAAGACCTCAGCAAGGGTAGACCACGTAATATCAATAGGAAACGTCAGCTGGGTGCGGAAATATTTTCCTAAAATATTCTAGTAAGAAAATTTATCAGAAAATGCGGCAGGTACTGCAGGCAGTTATGTGATTCGGAACAATTCATCTATTCACTTGTCTATTCCATACACTCAAAAGTGTGCCCGACTCGAAGGAGAGTAATATTCCCTATGCTCTTATGTATTCCAGAGCATCTGTCATATGCCCCCAAACCGGTGCCGAACTATTTACTGGTTTTTCATCGGAAAATGCGCGTGAATTTACGAAAGGAAGTGGATGGCCATTACTCCTTGACAAGTCACTGGAAAAGACGTTCACTGATTATGTTCACAACAACATTGACGCCCAATTAAATGTTGTCGTTGACATTAAGTGAGTCTGAAAGGTTTACAGTTTTTATTTATACTTCCATTTTTACTTTGAAAATATTTTTGAAAGTGCTAAAATGCTATTTACAGATTTAAAAGTTCGTTGTATGATCCACTGAGTTACTTGCCGAATGTGGAGAAAGCATGTCGAAGTCAAAGGATTGAGAAGACATGTGAAGACTTCATAAAAGCTTATTTCGACAACTCCGTCGATATTCCGAATCTGGACCTCCTACGAGCGCAGGTGCACTTTTCATTAAGTTTCCGTAGAATCTTTACTTTTTTCTTCCATGGCGTACGCATGGAAAACAATTTTGGCTTTTTTTTTAATAATAAATTGTAGGGTGACAAGTTCTCCATGCATCGTTTGGTATTTCTATTCGGATGTGATCGAGTAGAAAAGGAGTGTTTCAGCGATCAAGAGGAACTAACGGAGCTGAGCTTGAATCTTCTTAGAAGTGTAAGTTTTTTTTCTTGTTTTGTTCATCGCAACAGTCCTCAGCCTTCTATAATACTGTCACGCAGGCCCTTGTTTACCATGAGAAAGGTACTGTATTAGAAAAAGGAGCTGTTTGTGTAGATTGCTTGAAAACGGTCTTTGTTCGGTGTGGGGTATTTATGGCTGCGTTATCGCTGGTGTCAGGTCGAGCCATTTCTGGATATCGTTGATATCAGCCCTTGGAAAGGCGAAATGTTTTTCTCTGACCAGATACAGTTATGGACTGGGGATCGATTGGGCTACTTTTTTGACAGGGGCTGACAGTGATAAAAATGTTTCACTGCTTGCCATTCGGGTTTTGTCACTATTCTGAAGGAACCCTGTAATTGACGATCTGAAAGTAGTTCTCAGCTCTTGGTATGTTGCTTATTTGATTACTTTATCTTCTTTTATCAGAACGCTTGACCAGGCAGGATAAAACCTTGAGCTTAGAACTACTTCCTGCCTCGTGAGTAGCTACAGAAACGGTTCTAGCCCATCTGTAAATAGAATACTATTGAATTTATTTAACAAGACAAGTTTCAAAAAGTCCGAGCGTGACAAGAGACGGAAGTCATTTTGGTTTCAGACTTTCGCTCATGTGTACTAGACGGAAGTCATTTTGGTTTCAGACTTTCGCTCATGTGTACTTCGAGAAAGTATTGATGAGAGAAGTGCAGTGCTTTGAAGATTTCATATCGCTTCTGGAAGGCATTGGACAAGCACACATACCACCATTACGGAAGGAAATCGAGCGATTCATTTGTCGAGAAGTAATATCGGTTAGTAACATTTTCCACTTCTCTCTTCATTTGATTTCCTTTTTGTTGTCACAAAGTCTTTCCTACTGTTTCATGCGCTTCTAACTTTTTGGTTTTGATAATATCAAAGTCGCTCAAAAAACCCCTATCCAATATTGATTGACGCATCGTACAAACATAAACTTCTGTAGTCGCACACATTTGCGTAGGACTAAATTGGGGGTATGGGTCAAGTCGTGCGTCCGAGGATGCGCGCGGCGAAGTTCGTAACGATTTGAACGACCTCAGCGCTTATCATTGGGGTTCAAATTTGAAGTAGAGTAGATCAGAAGGATAATCTGACCCTGCTAAGCTAGTCTACTTCGACTTTGGCGCCGAAAATTGGCGTCAGTGTCGTTCAAATCGTCACGAACTTCGCCACGCAATTTGCCGCGCGCGTCCGCGGACGCACGACTTGTCCGTCCCCCCTAAATTGGTGTTAGGAAACCATTAATAAAACGATCAGTGCGTTAGCAATCCATAAAATACACAATTTCGTAGTCACATGAAAACGAGTGTAGGTGGGTTAATGAACCGCAAAGAAGTTACCAGAGTGTGACCTATCTCTGCTGGCCATGAAAATAATCTAATCGTTAGGAATTTCGTTTTTGCTTTCTGATATCAACTGTAAACAGTGAAGTTTACGTGAGGTGTCGATGAAATTTTCCGGAACTTTCCTGTTGACAGCAAATCATAAAGACTTTTTCTGTAAAAGTTACTTCATGCTTGTGATTGCTTACGCAAGCTAAAAGCAAAACATTTGCTGGACATTAATCAGGGGTTGAATGTCGACTCTAATTATACTTTTTATACTCGTAGGTCAGCATACCTCTTGGGTCTTTTTCTGCAAATTCGATAACCAAAGCTTGTACTTGGAAGGTGTTTGCTGCAATTATCTCAAATGAATCAGAAATTTATTATTCGAGAAATAATGTAACCGTTGTTACATATGAATATAGTTGCGATGCCAGTAAAGGTATAGGTATATGTTGGTTGCATGGTTTATTACCATTATCGACAGTTGTTATTCACTCATAGCTGTGGCCATAGTCTGCTTATTAAACATTTGTTTACAAACGTAACCGACCACAGTAAATCCTTTTATCGGCGCAATAGCCGCGAAACGTGATGTATGATGTCGTTGGCCTTCCTTTTATGAACAATAAAAGGGATGGGGTGGGTAGAAAGGAGAACGGGGCCTTGCTATTCAATGATTTCAAAGTGGGCAGAGTGCTCAAGATTGGTTGATTTCGCCACTACTTTTGTGCTAGCTAGGTGCTACCTGGCAGGGTCCCCAGCTAAGGGTATGTGCGTTGTTTTCGGACCCTTTCTATAGGTGATACCTCAAGAAATCATCTTTTGCCTGGT